TCACTTCTCATACATTGTAAAGATTTGGCATCCTAAGAATTCTACCGAATTTCTTGAACTTGAAAACAAGAGTAGTGATAGTTGTTTAATTTCGTTAAGAGAAATTTTTACTTTTTGATATGCTTTGTTCAGAAATTGGAGCTGAGGCTGAGATAGGTGGTCCCCACCCAGATGGACTCTACGGCACAGGGTGTGTCTCTGGAACTGTCCTCACCAACAGGAGAAGGGAAGGATTTGTGTGACTTCTACATCTGAGGCCTGGACTCATCTACTCTCCCTCTTCTTATGAAATACGACACAGCCTGCCTAGGACCCACCTTTGATTACACAAATGGGAACAAATCCCTAAGGGGTGTGATCTCCTGGAACTGCTGTACCAACATGGACCACGGACTCAGGAATTAATTTAAGTGAGAAATAAGTCTGTGTTCTATATAGTACTATATCCTTGGGTCTTTGTTAAAGTAGCTTAGCCTTTCCATTATCTAATACATGAATACTATATCATACTGAAGTTATTGATTATTATGAGGAAATATTAATTAAGCTTTATGAACTAAAGAATGGGAGTCACATTTTTTCTGTTTAAAAGAAATCTCATTTAGCTAACATTTTTGAGATAATATTTCAGCAAGAAAATTGGCATATGTTTTTTTCAGTTTTAATTAACTGAATTTGGATCTATAGGGGAAAAGTAACAATATATTTCAAGATGTTGACTATACTCGATAGTTACAAAATACATTTTAAGTAATCACCATGGTACTATATGTCCTCAACATTTTGCAAGACAGGAAGAGAGGGAGAAGGAGAGGGAGATAGAAACCTCAGTAATGAGAGAGAATCATTCATCAGCTGCCTGCCCTGACCAGGAATCAAACCATGATCTCCAGGTTCATAGGTAGACACTCAACAGCTGAGTCAGCTGGCTGGGAAAAAGAGAACATTCTTAATGAAGATACTTTGAATTGAATAAAAGTAAATATATTAATGTTGTTGCAATTCTGTTTTAAACTTCTAACATTTCCAAAAAAGATATTTTGGATACCAAATACAATTATTTGTATAAAAGATCCATTTGTTTTTCAAAATCCTAAGTCCACATGTGAATTAAAGTTGATGCCCAAAAACCAATTACTAATGCTTTGTTATTAAAATACATTGAAGAGTGATAATAAATGTATCACCATTTTAGATTAAGATTTAAAAAGAATTTGCTAAAATTTGCAATTTCAGTTGCTAAGTAAAGTATATTGTTATTAACAGCATCCACAGCAACTTATTTGTGTGAACCAGATTTTTTAACCAACGTAACTAAAAAGAGTGGGAAGAAACAGACCTCAGCACCAAGCACCTGGGCTGTGCATATAGCATTGTCCTCCTGTCTCCAGCCTGGAATAAATTTAGACAAATGTGCCTGCAATCATGAATAAAATCATATTTAATAGTAACTCTATCATATTTAACAGTACGTTATTTTATAGATAAAACTTTTGTTTGTTTTTAATCTGTTTATACATAATCTATGTGTATACTGGGTGGTGATAAAAAGGGTATGTTCTGTGAGTTGACATTTTTTTAAAAAAAGTGTTTTAATGTTTCCCTCCCTTTCCTCCATAGCCAGCATCTGGAGTGGGTTGTTTATAAATGTGTTTCTACCTGCGCTCAATCCTCTGCAACCCGGCTCTCTGCCCTCATTATTATTCTGGGGCAGGCTTTCTAACTCAAGTCTCACATCCATTAGATTCTTTTCTGTGTTTATCTTTGCCCATTCTGTTGCCATTGACCTTGTTGCCTGATTATTTTAATTTCATTTTTATGCCACCTAAAAAAACCCCAACTTTTTGCAATTATAAAAGTAAACATGTTTAAAGGAAAAATAAACTCACCGATAACCCACCAGAGAGAAACACTATTAACATTTTATGTTTGTTTTTCAGTTATATATATGCATGTATATTTAAAGTTATGTGTGCATCTACATCAAATATTTAAATAATAAAATTGAAATCATTTAGTACATAGCATTTTACAATCTTATTTAGCTATATAGAAACAACGTTTCATGTTATTCAAAATTCCTCTGCCATATTATTTCTTTTTGTCAATTTTATTTTTAATCAGTTTACATTCACTATTATTTTGTATTAGTTTCACAGACTTATTCTTCAAGGCTATGTAGCATGCTGCTTTATGGATACATACATCATAGGTTATTTTTCCATTTCTCTATTGGACATTTACTTAGTTTTCAATTTTTAGAAATAATTGAATGACATTAAAATCCTTGTAGAAAATCTTTACCCACTTCCATAGTCACTTGCTTAGGATGAATTCCTAGGCGTGAGATTGCCGGGTCAGAGCCTTATCTATGCTGCATACACATTCAGAATCCCTCCAGGAATGTGGTACCAGCCACCTTCCACCAGCACCCGTGACATGAGAGGACCTAACTGACCAGCTCCTTAGTAACTAGCAATACCATTTAAAATCTCTTAGCCAATTTGATTGATAAAAAAAATCTTATTTTATTTACAAGTTTGTGCTCTTCCTCTGTGAGCTGACTACCTATTCATTGCTTCTTTTTTTTAGGGTGTGTATCTGTTTTTTAATACTTTGTAAAAACTCCTTTTATAAAGTTATTCAAAGTTTATGTCTCTAAAATGGTTATTTTTTCTAGTTTGTATCTTAAGCAATTTTTTTAAATTATAAAGATAACAAATATTCTTAAAAAGTAAAAAATAGTAATATACACAAAATTAAAATGTGATTTACTCTCTTTCCTCCTTCAGTCTACCCATCAGAGTGTCATCTGTTTTTTAATGTTGGATGGAACTTCTGACATACAGGTTCTACATATTGAAATAATCAAATCTATTTTACCTTTTCTTTTTCAGTTTCTGTCTTAGCTGGTTGTTAGAAATAATCTTGATGCAGTAAGAGGAGTATATTCATTTACATTTTCTTCAAAACCTTTTATGGATCAGTTATTAAATTTAACTTTTTAACACATTTATAATTTATTTTCTATATCATATAAAGTTGTGACCTATATTTTTCCCAAATAGTTAAGAATGTAGTCTAACATAATTATATTAACGACTATAATGTTAATGATAATAATACTTTTTTTTTTTCAGCACTGGAAACCTTTCCCAAAGGCGGTTTCATGGGATGTGGATGGTGAGTTGCAGGGTCCTTGGGGGCTGGGACTTTGCAAGTTTGCTTGTTAGTACAAGGTACCAAGAAGGCTTAGGGAGAAGTATGAACACACCCTCCCCTGCCCCCCATCTGTTGGACCCCTTCTGTGACACTTCCTTTCCTGGCTGCCTTCCCACACCTGGGGGTTCTGATTGCTCCTTCTCAGCCTCCTCTTTAGGTACTTGGGCCTCTGCCCACCTTTTGAGGGTAAGTGGTCCCCAGCTTCCTCCCTGCCATCCTGCTTCTCCCCTTCTATCCACTGCCTCCCAGCAACCTTTGCTGAACCCGAGGCATCAACAATTCTCAATACTTGATGCTTTCAAATCCTCATTTCTATCACAGAGCCCTGATCTGAGTTCCTGCTGATAAGTAAAACACCCCATGGCTATCTCATTATCATTCCAACCCGAACATGTGCAAAACCCAGATTTTATGAGTTCAAACCCTTTCCCCCCTCTCTTCTTTAACTTGGAGGACAGGCCACCATCTTCCCATTTTCCCAAACAAGAAAATCATGTCATCCCACATGCTACCACACCAGTCAATAAAGCCTGCTGCGTCTGCTCCCTACATATCTCTTGTTACTTTTTCCTCTATTCCTTTCCACCCACCATTGGCTTACCTGATTTCTAGGTCACTGCAGAATCTTCTTCTGTTCTCCCAGCAGCCAGCCTACCTCTCTGCAGTTTATCCTCCTCACTATCACTACAGCTACATTTCCAAAGAAAAAACACTATGCTTCAAATCCTCTTACCTCCCATTACCTCCCAATCACAGCTTTCACAACGGGTGTGTGTGTGTGTGTGTGATTTCCAAATGAGATTTCTGCTTTCCTCTCCATTTCCTCCAACAACCACCCCAGGGCCTCCATCGGTGAACGACTTGGTTACTGAAACACGGGCACTCTCTCAATATTTGAGTCCCTGGCTCACACTGCCTCCCCCATCCGGCCACCCAGGTCGCCTCCCAAGTTCAGCCTTAAGGGTTCTTCACTGGGGAAGCTGTCCCCGTGCGCTCCCCTGCACCCTCATCCAAGCCAGATAGCCCTTTGCTGCTGCGTGGGCCCTAGTGCGCCCCCTTCCTTCCCCCTCCACCCTCCGGAGGAAAACAATTCAGCACAGGAAAGGAAGGGAAAGGGAGGGAAGAAATATTTCATAAAAGGGTTTTGAATTTAAAAATATGTTTGGAGTCCAATTGTTGTTGGTTTGGGAAGTCCGAGTCTCTGGGCTAGGTTTCCTCGTGTCGTGTGTGTGTGTGTGTGTGTGTGTGTGTGTGTGTGTGTGTGTGTGTGTTTGAGAGAGAGAGAGAGAGAGAGAGTTTGAGAGTGAGAGAGAGAGAGAGAGAGATAACGTTGCATACGCGCTGGACAGAGTGACCCCAATCACAGGTAGCGCGCGGGCCAGGCACCCAGAGAGCTGATCACTAAATGGTGAAAGCACGGGCCAGGGGATGCAGCGGGGGACGCCACACCCCGCAGGGGACTCCGCGACCCGGGCTGGGCAGCCCCAACCCCGCGCAGGGGGTGGGTGGCGCGGGGAGAACCGCGGAGAGGCCCCTCCCCGCCGCCTCCGCGCCACGGATCAGACGCTCCTGGGGGCCGAGCTGTCAACGCCCAGCGGCGAGCCAGCTCCGGACGTCCGCCTCCACCTTCCTCCAAGCCTCCCTGCCCCAGGGGCCCCCCTTGGTGGCGGGGCCAAGGGAGCGTCATTCCGCCTGGGGCCCGACCCCGCTGTCGCCGTGGCCCCGCTCAGAGCGCACCTGACCCGGGCGGGCGGGCGGGCGGGGCGCCGGGACTGACGTGGCCCGCGGCGCGGAGCGGCCGTGATTCATCCGCTGCCGCGCGGGGCCGGGTGCTGGCGAGCGCAGCGGCCGCCGGGGCGCGCACGGCCAGGCAGCGGCGTCCCCGACCGGCCTCGCGCTCCTTTCGCTGTGGGCGGCCGGGCCCCTGAGAAGGTCAAGATGGAAGAGATCCTGCGGAAGCTGCAGAAAGAAGCGTCCGGGAGCAAGTACAAAGCCATCAAAGAGAGCTGCACCTGGGCCCTGGGTAAGCGCGCGGAGCGGGATGCGGGCACGGGCGCCGCTGCTCACCCCGCCGGAGGGCCGCGGGGTCGGGGCTGACATCCCTGTACCTGGGGGGCTTTCGCCGAGCATCTGTTTTGCATGCATTTCGCGCAATTGGGAGAGTTGCCTTGGTCGGTGAATTGAGGTATGATGTGAGGATCTTGGTGCGGGTGTTGACATCTGTTCGTCTCCCTTCTGGTCTGTTTATCTCCTAAACATTAACGGGGAACCGCTGTCCTCCACGCCGGGCGGGACCCTCCTCCAGACCCCCAGCACAGTGGATCGTGGTCACCCATCACTGAGGGAGACAGGGCCACAAAGGCTGGTGCGAATCCAGGGGCCTGATTCCGAAGTGCCTGTGGGAAGAGGGAAGTTGGACCATCAACCCGGATCTCGAAACATTGTCGAATGTAATCAGGAAGGAATGGCTGTTTAATTTGATTTTCCTGGCAGAGGCCAGCTTGTTAAGTATCGTCTTTCATTTTTATTGCACATAAAATATAACATCCGGGTGGGATTGTGTTACCCTACCCCTGCAGTTCTATTGTGGTCCGCCCTTCAGACAGGTGGGATTCAGATTTGTGAGCTGTGCAGGCATTGAAGTAAGTTCCACCTGACTCAGAGCCCAGCCTCGGAGAAAGCGGAAAGACATTGCAATCAGGCGAATGTGTGTTTCCCATCTGACTCAGGTTGCAGAACTCAGCCTCCTAGAAATGGGAAAGGCATTGTAATCAGGCAAGGATGTGGGCAATCAAGATTGTCTGGATAGGAATGCAAAGAGATCAGGAACACACTTTGGGTGACGGTGATGCTTTTGAAAAAGCAAAGGCCAAAGAGAAAACAGGCAGCTCTGTGGGGTCCTGGCTTTGCCCAAGTCTGCAGGTGCTTCCTCCTTTCCCACTCCATTAAAATATGAAATGGAAATCCTTTCTCTCTCAACCAAAAACAAGCAGTGCTTGTCAAGACATTATCCTGTGCTGCAGCCTAAAAAGAGATGGAAACATTAGCATATTTCCCACTAAATGTAAAATTCTTATGGCATTTCAGGCAACTCTGTTAATTCACATATGTTGAGGGTGTGTGTACAGACATTCATAGAAACATCTTTTTTTTTTTTACACCTGCATATTTTCACAGCATTTTCTAGAATATTGTCTAGGAAGTTGATCTTGTAGTTAGAACCAGAACGTGACCATTTGTTTACTGTTAAAGAAAAATGGACCAGATAAATCAGTGAGCAGCAAGGCTCTTAAAGCCACAGGACTGTTTTTGCATTGCCATTGTCATTCAGCAGAGTGATTCAGACCTAGATTCCCAAAGGCCTCTATTGAAAGGTCACAGATGGCTGGGTAACATCGTAAAGCAGGGCCCAACTGCACTCTAAACATGCCATTCCTTGTATTCATTATTTACTTTGCTAATTTAAGCAGATTTAGATAAAAGGGAGGAGAAAAGTATTCTAGTATTTTTAATGTTTGATGCTCAGCTTCTTGTTATGTTGCGGAGATCAGGTCCTTGAAGCTACCCAGGAAGACCAGAGCTGAAGCAGGGAGCTTGTCCAAACTGAGAGCCTAGAGTCCAGCCTGACTGTAAGAATAGATGGGTTTCCTTTCTCTGGTTAGCAAGATGAGATGTGAGTGCATGAAATAGTTAAATAACAGTGCAGGGCATGCATTGTGTAGGCTGGAATGAGTAAACCAGCAACACAGATCAAAGAAGAGGGGCCTACTGTGAGGGCAAGGGTGCTGGGAGAGGGGGGATTGGTGTGACCTGGTGGGACTTTTGAAGTAGATTTGACTTGATGAATGGGTAAGCTGTGGGTTCCTTCTTTTCTTCCTTTATTTTGCAAACGTTTCTTTATTAAGCAGTGAGATATAAGGATGAATAGATGAATAAACACTTCCTCCCTATTGAACTTTGTTAGAAGGCCATGTTGGAGGGAGAATGCAGCCTAAACGAAGGCATAGAGATATGGTTTCCCTGTTCTCTTTCCTACTCCAGTCCATGTTCAACTTTTCCATCTTTTTTTTTTTTTTTACTAAAAACACTTCTCTTCAACCCCATAATTTCTTTATGATTAATGTATAAATTCCTTCGAACTCTCTTCAAGTCTAGCCCCAGCCTTCTTTCTTGTTGCTCCCCCACCAAAGGTTCAACAGAAGCTGCACTACTTTCTCCAACACGCTGTGCGTGGCATATGTCTCTGCCTTTGCTCATGCTAGTCCTTCTGCCAGGAATTCCCTTTCCAGTCTCCTAAGACCCAACTCACACAGGAAGAATTCATTCCCTGAACCCCTCAGGTGAATTGTGGCCCTCTGGCTCTAAGCCCTGCCCGCATGACTCCTCAAGCACCTGCTGCTTCGAATTATAGTTAACTGTATGCACAGCCACCCTGTAGGGGCAAAATATTGAGAAATATGTTGGGATCAAGAAACCAAAAAAACTAATTCAAACAGAATGTATTTTTAATTAAATGTCCCTTGGGAGGCTGGGGGTTGAGTTTGGTTCAGGAATTAGTGTTTCAAAGACCTTGCTCTGCTCTTTTTGAGGTAACTCACATGCTCTGCATGAGTCTCCACAGCTTTGGGCTCATGAATGATACCATTTAGACCAGTGATGGCAAACCTTTTGAGCTCGGCGTGTCAGCATTTTGAAAAACCCTAACTTAACTCTGGTGCCGTGTCACATATAGAAATTTTTTGATATTTGCAACCATAGTAAAACAAAGATTTATATTTTTGATATTTATTTCATATATTTAAATACTATTTAACAAAGAAAAATCAACCAAAAAAAATGAGTTCGCGTGTCACCTCTGACACGCATGTCATAGGTTCGCCATCACTGATTTAGACCATTTCATGAAAAGGGGGCATCAGCACACGTAAACCATCATGGGTGAGAGGGGTCATCTCTCACTTAGCCTATCATTCATGATCATCTCAAGAGAGTGGAGCATCTCCAGTCACTCCTGTTCAGTCCTTGGTTTCACTTGAAATCCCAGAGTCAGGGAAGGATGGTTTCCTCAAAACCAGATTAGGGTGCTGCTTCAGAAGGTGGGGAGTGGATGCTGGTCAACCAAATCAACAAATAGCAACAGTGTAGACGTGAGCTTCTTGAGCAAAGGGACAGGTGCTTATGCTTTTCTGTGGCTTCTGCTCCTACAATATGAGAGGCAGATGTTCAATAAATAAATCAACATGGTAATGACTTGTTTAAGTTTTATGTAATATTAATATTTTTTTCTATTTACAAGACCTATAGATGTTCATTTTAGAATACTGAAAAATATTCAAACAGTATAAAGAAAAAAATTAAAATCACCTGTAATCTCATAACCCAGAGATAACACCACATTTTAGAGTATTTCCCTTCTGCAAAGTGTGGTATTATATCTATCTATCTATATATATAAAAGTCCAGCGACCAAAATGGAGGAACAACTAGAACAACCAGAATGACTGGTGGCTATGACGTGCACTGCGGCAGCCAACTGGCCTGATCTGGGCCCCAGTTGGCCCCCTTCCGGGCTGGCCTGGCCCCCGATTGGCCCCTCAACACCCCGATTGGGGGCGGGGCCTGCTGACCAACTGCCTGCGGGCCCTCTCCCTGGCCGGCCCGATGGGCTTTCATTGGGGCAGGCCAGCCAGACCCCACCTGTGCACAAATTTGTGCACCAGGCCTCTAGTATCATATATCCTGGATTACCATTTATATTTTAACTTTAGCATTTTATGTCATTAATACATCTATGAAAATTGGTATTTTTAATAGTGGTATCATAAATGGCAAAGAACATATATGTATCTCTCATCTATTTTGAGCTATCTAGTTTGTTAGATTTTTTTTTTTTTTTTTTATCAGTGAGGAAATGGTCTGACCAGAGGGTTCAGCTTGTGGAAAGCCTGAGAGACTAGCATTCTCTTTCAAGAACTGGCAATCCTGGAAGCTTGTGAGCTGGGAATGGCAGGGTGAAGTAGAATGGCACAACATTATACTGGAAGGGACCATGCCCTTATTTTAGCAATGTTTTTACGTATATCAGGGACTCATATAGAATGGCTTTAGAAAATGGAGGAAAGGAGAAAGGAAGTTAGAGACGGAAACACCAAGTAGTGGAAGGATAGTCTATCCAGCCACCATCCTTCCCTCTATCTTCCCACTTTTCCTTCTAGCCACAGTTTCTGTTACTTTCACAGCCAAACTTCTAAAAGAGTATCGACAGTGAGTGTGTCCACATCCTGTACTCACTCTTCAACTCATTACAGTCCGACTTTCTCCTCCATCATTCCACCAGCTCTCAGTGAAGAATAACATACACAGACCTCAGTCTAGCAGACCGTCCTTTCACCCATCTTACAGGGCCTCTTGGCCATACTAAGCATACTGGGCACCCACTTTACCTGGGCCTCCATGCCCGTGTCCTACCAATCTTATCATACCTCTTGAGCTGCTCTGTCTCTTTTTCCAGCTCCTCTTCCCAGCCTAAGTGTTGGAGTTTGCAAGAATTAGCCCTGAGCCCTCGTGTCTTACTCTCAATCCTGCTGGATTGAACACATCCATCCATACCCACAGCGTCAGTTCCGTTTCTGACAATGTGATGCCCATGTTTATATCGCCAGCCCACACCTGTGCTCTGATCTCCAAACCCCAATGCAGCTACCTACTCAACATCTCTGCTTGAGGGATGGGCTCCTTATGGCTGCTCTGTGACTTCCCTCTCTCTTTCCCCTTCTTCTAGCTCTTCTAGCATTTGTAGAGTTGGGCACCATTGCACATTCTGAATTGAATATAAACCCCTCTCTCTGATGGGGAAAATCAGGACAGTTTGGTTGTTGGGTGTCAGAGCCTCCATGTGGTGTCAGAGCATCAAGTTGTCCTGGACACTGGCCCTGCTGGGCTGTGCTGACCTGTGTAGCCTTTGAGCTGCTCCCTGCCCCTGAAGCTTAGGACTTCGTTTTCTTGTTGTCCTATCTCATCTTAAGGACTGACATTCCTTTCACTTCCTCCCTTGGCCACAGCATCACTGACCCTACTGCTTCCATCTTTCTGTTTTGTGGATTGCCTTGCTCGTACCAATGTTTTGTCCCGTTGGCCACCATAGGCCCAGATCCTATCAGCGTGCTTTCACCTATTCTTACTCCTGAGTCTCAGGGAACATTTGGTGCCCATTGTTCCCTCTGCTCTCTTAGCAAGGTTGGGAGAGATGTTTCTCCTTCCCCAACGAAAGTGGCTCAAATTGACGGGGCTTGCTCGCTCTAAGCAGTGAAGAGGGCATCAACACAGGTTGAGCTAGAAAACTGAAGGCAAGTTGGAGCTATTGAAATAGAACTGCTTTTTGTTTTTTCTTGGGAGAGAATAGTGACCTTTTCATTATTTCTACAACTGGAGGCAGCAATAGTGCGAGTAATTCACAACAATGGTAAATAAAGTATCGAACATCCAAGTTGAATTCATGAGATTTGGGGTGAGCCTCCCAATCAGTATTTCTAATTATAGTGTGATTTAAAAAGGTTGAATCCACCATGTCATAAATGTGTGCAGGAATAGTGAGATATTACATAAAATGCTTTGTGAACTTGAAAGTCTCTTATGTATAAGTTATTATTGAAGGGTATTAGAACCATAGTTTCAAGGAAACAACTTTTCTTTCTCTGTCTCTATTGTAAGAATATAGAATTTTAGTCTGTTGTAACTAGATTAAATTGGCATTCTGATTCAGGTTAGGAATTGAATTATTCATTCTATGTCTCTATAGGGAAATACGTCTCTGGGGCTTTTAGGGGAGGAGTATTTTTAAATATGGACGATTTGCAGTCAGAGAATTGAGAATTGACTACTTTATAATTATAGAAATTTCTGGGGGGAAAAGAAACTAACAGTGAAATTATGACCTTAACCAATAAAGAAATTAAAGATAAAAAAGAAATGATGCACAATGCAGATTCTAACTTTGTACATATTTATTTTTAGCTGTAATTTTTCTTTTGCAGAAACCCTGGGTGGTGTGGATACCGTTGTCAAGATCCCTCCACACTTGCTGAGGTAAGGAGGCTGGAATTGTATAACATAACAATTGCCCACCGTGTTTCCCTGAAAACCCAGATAACCTCGTGGGTTTGTAGGATGATACTGCTGACTGCCGGCTTTTTTGCGCGCATGGACTGGGATATTTCATGAGGTTGGCGTGATAGGAGTGGATTGCACTGATTTCCACCTGTCTGTGGAGTAAGGGAAATCTCAAGCCAAAGGAACAAGCTATGGAAGTCAAAGATGAGAGAATAATGGTCGAGGGCAGAAATGACTATAACCGAAGTGAGGATGTGGACAATGGATAGTATCTTCTACTGTGGATTAGGAAATGGCGCCCCTCTTTGGGGGGGGCGGGGAATAGGCCTACACCATGTGGGTTGGATTCAAGCTGTCACTGGCTCCTTGGCTGGACACCATCTCACAGACTGCAGCCACAGGCAGCAGCCCTGAGACAGTGAACCTCTTTCCCTACCTTCCTCACTGCCCTCATTTTTGTAATTTCCTCTCATCACCAGAAATGCATGCCCTTTGTGGAAAATTTGGAAAGAACAAATAACAAAGTAGTTCATATTTACACAGCCTGAGGAGAACCACTGAAAACAGTTTAATGCATTTCTTAATAGGCATGTTTCCCCCCACACACATATCTTTACAAATTCATGTGAATTTTTATTTACAAATTTGTTTCCTGCTTGTTTTTATTTTTTAGTCAACATCACGTAAAGGACATTTTCTAATGTCAGTATATGTTCTTTAAATTAAAATATTGCATATTCTTCCATTATATGGCTGTTGTAAATTAATTGTGTAGTTGCTTTCTTCATATTGGACACTTGGATTGTTTCCAGATTTTCTTTGAGATTATTAAAAATATTGAGTTGTTGAGTATAATTTCTGTATTTTCAGGACACTATGATTTATTAGGTATTTTCTCTCTTTTCAAGGAGATTGAACAAGATTTATGTTTCTGTCTTTTTAAAAACTTTATTATGTCTCACGTTGATCTGCTATTGGCTGATCTATTATAAGGGAATTTATGTGTTAATCAAACTGAGTACATTTTTGTGTGCATAATGCTTCTAAATGGACAGGCGTCTGGCCGTATTTGTGCTTGGAGGCGGGGAGTGCCCGCTGGATGTTTGTGCTCACGGGAGAATGACTCTCCAAGACACAAAGCATGAGTAGTTTAGGGAGACGACCTCTGGTCCCCAACTTCTAGAGGCAACCTTTCTAAAAACTGATTTGCTTCCCAGATGATTTTGCCACATCTTCTTTTCCATCTCACCTCTTACAGTCACCCTTCCCCTGCTTGACGAAGGAGAGACACAGCTGTTACCCATCCCATCCTGACTCTGAGGTGTGCTGTCCTGGGGGACAAACCCTCTTCCCACCAACAGGGACTATGAAACTATGAGTGTTTGTGTTGGTAAAGGGGGTGGTGTAATGACCAGGGCACACATTTTGCAGGGTGGTTTTTACTTCTTGGCCGTCAGCAAAATTGAAGAAGGACTTAATCTGGTCACAAGATAATAGGTAATAATATTTTTTGATAGTCTCCATTCAGTTTTTATTTATGTAAACAAGGTTTTATACTGTTTATATCTATAAAAGTGGGGGTGAAAGGTACAAAATTGATGGTAAACCCAACCTTACTATAGCAATAAGGAATATTTATCCACAGGTGTATAAACTAATTGAGGAGAACAATATACTAGCAATATCCATTTCTTTTTTTCAATTTTTTATTTATTGATTTTAGTGAGAGAGAGAGAGAGGGGAAGGGAGATATATCTATATATCTATATCCATATCTAGAGAAACAAATGCATTTCTAATAAAATTATACTTTCTTTGCTAACTACATTAACATTTCTAATGAGTGATTATTAATATTTTTGGATCAGTTGTGAGCATTAGGAATGATAGCTGAAACCAGAAGAAAATTGAACACTTTTGGCTTTATGGAAATTTTTTAAAAATCACTCTATACATATTTTTTGTTATAGAGAAATGTAACGGGAAGATAAATGAAAGTCTCTTAAGCATTAAAACATAATCTTGAGAAAACATTCTGTGGGGAAGAGGAATGGAAATACAAGTTCAAGGAGAAAAGAGAACAATGCAGCTTTTTTCCTGTTACAGGAGAGTTTGTTCATGTATTTTTTGATGGATAAAGATGGTTTTCAAATGGGTGTGGTATTTAGATTTCATTACATTAAATAAGTGCTGTAGTTTAATTAAAATTTTTAATAATTTTAATATGCCAGAATTATAGCCTTGGCAATTAATTAAAATTATAATTAAAATTTTAAATGGTAATTTAAAACGTGTGAAAACCAAAATGTTAATATTTTCTTAAAGGCTACAAGAGCAAAAATGTTTCATGACACTGCTCTGTAGCTTGTTTCCCAGTCCAAAGAGTTGTCGAACCTACAGCGAGTCTTCTGGTCCATTGGGTGGGACTGTTCATCAGGAGACAACTGGCATTTTCCAGCTCTTGGTGTATGTGTGTGACTAGATGAGTTGGATAGAAAAACAGCCTTACTGGGCCCACGGACGTATGTTTGGTCACCTGTTTAGACATTTAGCTTTACTTTAGTCTATAGTCTTACAATATACTCCAAAGCCTGCTAGCTGTCTTATACAACCCATAGGGGGAGGCAGCAAATTGGTTGGAAGGATGCAGATGAGAAACTGTGGATGAATATATACAGGTGTCTTTCCATATCTTCACCATTAGCAGAAATTTAATTCAGAGTTTTTATTCTTTGATAAAGAGCTGGTGATGTCATCCTTGTATACAAAGGCCTGTGTATCATTATATTCCAGGTGTGCAATGAGGTCTGTCAAGCATTCATATAAAAGAATGGAACCATATGAACGAGTCAGCAGATGTGAGCCTGCACTCAGCGACTTTGTGTTGTGAGGGAGGAGGATGAAACATATATAGCTGGAAAACACTGTTATAAGGTTGCAGGTGTAAGCTTATTGTAGAATTTTATCCATTTAAGGAGGTTTCAGTTGGACTGATTTGAAATAGTTGGGAGCCTTTTAAATCCTCATTTAGTTATTGAATCAATAACTTTATTATTTCACTTTATTATCAGGAAAGTGACACAGGAAATACACTGTAATGGGCTTTTCTCCTTCTGTTGTAAATCTGTCCTTTGATTCATCTTCCCGGCACTTTTAAGCCCAGAGAGTGCTTACTCTGTCCAGTCATTATGTTGTTGTTTTTTAAAATTAAATTTATTGGGCAGTTATTATGTTTAACACACCATCTTCTTACTATTTGAGCATCTGCTCAAAAAATCTAGTCACTGTAAATATTTGCTCATGAGGAATTATTTGGATATATCAATTATTAAAAAAAATTTCTTCAATTATATTTAGTATATGAGAAAGAAACCAAATTCATAGACTATTTCTTGTGTTCTCCAGATTTTATATTCAGATTGTTTCTGTTTCTGTTGCGTAATCATCTAGAAGTGATTATTTACAGATTTTGTTGTTACAGGTTTTGGAAAGGGCTATAGGAAATAATTCAGATCACAAATACTTTTGCTGTGCAGTTTTTCTTATTGTTTTTTTTTTTGCCATTGATTGATAACTTTTCATGTTAAATTAACATTCTGATAAATAATTACTGAGACCTTTTTGATCAGTTGTGTCCAAGGAGAATGTGGAGTAGCCTTTAGCAGTGGGGATGGTAAGATCCATGTTAGAAATCAAGGGGTCCTGAAGGTCTAGTTTCTCTTTTTCTTCTCCCAACTGCTATGGACCACAAAGAGTATTCCTCTCGCCCTTTAAGATAGTGTAAGTGACAATGCTATACTGTTTCCTAACTTACATAGGAAGTTAGGAAACAGTATAGCTGTTTCTGTGTGCTATCTGCCAGCCTGTAAGCCAGCCCTAATGGTTTTCATGTTCTATTCCCTTTGATAAGGAAGACCTACAATTAGTTCTCAATTATAAAGCTTCTCCTTGTTAGCAGCCCCTGGCCTAAAAGCACTTTTAAATGATGCAGTCAATTAAGATGCGCATAACCCACCCAAGCTAGGATGTAGGGGATATTGGGCTTGAGTGATAGTTTGTGATGTGAGCAAGGTGATTAGTGTTCAAAAACCAGCCACTTATCATTCCTTTATGACAAGTAGTTGGTGTCTTTATTTTATAGCACTTGGATGGCTGTAAATGGAAGTGTTAGTTAGAAGGAAACATAACTCCATTTGGAAAAAGTATAGCAATCCAATCATGAGTTTCCTTTCTTAGGCCTCTTCCTTCCTCTTGAATGGAATGAAGGTAGGAATTCTGATGTGCTGGTTACTTTGTGCATGGTTTTCATAATTAAACTGTGCCTTGGAGGCAGTATAGGCCTGGGCTTTCTGCTTTCATTGCAAACTAGGCCTCTGAGATTTTGTTTGTATTGATGGGTTATAAAAATGGATACCAGGAGATGGCTAGAGACCTGAGCACATTGATTCATGTTGTAAATGGCTCAGTGTGGTGTTGGTATATCTCTTTTTCACCATCTAGGACTTTTCTCCTGGGGGAGGCATGGTGCAAAGACTAGCATCATATTTAGTTGCTTTTGGACGTCTTTGTTTATTCAGTATTTTATATTTTTATTTTTACTGCATATTTATGTGTAGTTGAACTGTGTATCAGTTAGTAACATTATGTAACTACACAACACCTGCTATAATATCTTTTTCAAGTTAAGGCCAATAAATTTGACGTAAGATCTCCCTTGACCTCTTTACCTATTCTAAAGTGCACTCCTCGGTTAATATGATGCATCTTAGCATGTGCAGTAGCCTGATGATTCACATTTTCCCAACTAGGACACATGAGAACATGAGCTTCCATTTTTTAAACCTTTACTATGTGCCAGGGACTCTCTTAGATGCCATACATCAGCGGTTCTCAACCTGTGGGTCGCGACCCCTTTGGCGGTCGAATGACCCTTTCACAGGGGTCGCCTAAGACCATCCTGCATATCAGATATTTAC